GTAATGATGGGAAATGTTCTCTTGTAAATGGCCTGTGTTATCCCAAGCTTTCAAAAAGCAGCTCAGGTAATTTAGCTCCTCAGATATCATCATAAAAATAGACACCGTGGATGTTACATTCAGATTTATTTGGTACAACCACAATTGATTGTGTTAGAATCTTCTAGCAGGCTGAAATGAGAGGAGCAGCAGGCGCCAGATGCGTGACTCCAGTAAACGAAGCACTAAACTGGCTGTTTGTCATGAAAAATCGCATGTTTATGGGTTTGCTAATATGCCATGAGATGTAGCTACTTCAGCAAAACTATATATCAGATTATCCTCTTGCTGCTCTTTGTGTATTGGTCAGGCCACATGCCATGGATAATCATTAGCATAAGTTGTTTATATGAGTCATTCTTTAATCAATCTTATCCTTTCCTGTCTGCATTCAGTAATGTAATAGGCTGGTTTTCTCAGCCACGTGTTTGGCAACAAATGTAATGAGACCTTTACATATAAAGGAAAATAGTTGATTACATTGGTCATACTTCAAGCACTTATTTTAATTATAGGTTTCAATGAGCAGGAATAAAAACAGAATTACCAGCTGTGCTGTTTGCCTGCTGTTGTGGCATATGGTCAGCCATGATAGACCTTTTTTATTCACTAGTTTTGTCATCTTTCTAAAATAGAATTTAGAAAGGTTTTGGTTGCCAAACAATTCACTCATTCAATAATTCATTCAGAAGCTGTCTCTCCTCAAGAGCTCAATGAAAGTAGCATATTCAATAAAAATATAATTTGTCTTCTGATACAAAGTTCATCAGGAAAAATAAGCATGAATATTATTTTAATGCATTAGCTGAATAAATTTGGTTCATAATTTATACTTATATTTTAACCAAATATACAATGTATTCAGATGAGCATTCTAAATCAAATATAGATTTGTATATTTGAACACTATTTGTAAGGAGAGGTCTGATTGTGTTCCACATCAATGGTAAGTGCTTCTGTGTATATTGTGTGTGATGCATTTAGAGAGACGATTCTTTGAAAACAGCAGCGAGCACCAAACTGAGGTTGTATAAGCTACTTACCTGAGCTGACCGCTTAATCTGTGCTGAAACGAGAGAGAGGCAGGGGTCAGCAAGTCACACCTTCCTGTAATGGTGGGGACTTTCCATTGACTTTTGTTGTTTTTATAGTGAGCTAAGTATGGTTTTTTTCCTATCCCTAAACCTGAACTTTGCAGAAACCTTTTTGCATTTTTATATATATTTTAATTAAGATTTAATTTAGTATGTTAAACCTGACTCTTACACACCAAATGGAAAGTGAGATACTCCAAAAAATAAAAAATAAAACTTTTGATTTTACTGCACACTGATTTTAATCAATTTTAGCAATGGCCTTGGCTTGTACCCTATGCATTGCACCATTAAACTTGAAACACTGAAATATAACCCCTCTTTTAAACTGAATATATACCCAAGCTTTTGACCAAGTTGGAATAAACGGTCAGTTGGCAGACTGCATTTATTTGATCAAAAATACAGTAAAAACAGTAATATTGTAAAATATCATTACAATTTAAAATATCTAATTTCTATTGTAATATATTGTAAAATGTAATTTATTCCTGCGATCAAAGCTGTATTTTCAGCATCATTACTCCAGTCTTCAGTGTCACATGATCCTTTAGAAATCATTCTAATATGCTGATTTGCTGCTTAAGAAACATTTCTGATTAAAAATGCTGAAAACAGTTGTGCTGCTTAATATTTTGGTGTGTAAACCACCTTTTTTTAGGAATCTTTGATAGAAAGGCATTTGTGTCAAATAGAAATCTTTTGTGACATTATAACCTGTATGTCTTTTGTATAGCTGTTACTTTTGATCTATTTTACTGACCACAACATTTTTTTTAAATGTAAATGTTTATTGTTTAAACCAAAAAAAAACTATTTATGATCATTTGTATCTATTGTTCCCTGTTTTGTGTTGTGTTTCTACTCTATTATCACTATTGATAGTGACATGGTATTAAATAAAGGGCTCAAACTAAAGTGCACAAGGATCAGTAAAGGTAAACACCATATTATCCGATAAATCTTGTCTTTAACATCCCAGTGAGGCCTTACAAATGGCTAGTGCAACCCAGCTACCTACATTACTCTAGCTGTGTGTTTGTACAGGTTTTTCCCAGAATGCCTCCTTCTCAGTCATTGAGTGATGATGCAGATGTTGTGAACACATCCCACCCCTCATGCACTCTGAGGTACAGAGACTCCTACCTCTCAGCCCAGCGGCGCAATGACCGATATCGATCCTCCAATCATGCGACTTTTGGCCCTTGCATCACAGAGGACATTTCACTGCTGCAGTCCATGGCCCAGGTACCACCATACCAAGACCTTTAAACAAACTGAGATACATGTCCTGTAACATACTGATCATGCAAGCTTTCAGAAATACTGTCATTTCAGAACTACATGTCCTAAAACCAACAGTTTGAATCCATTCTTTCTTATCTCATGTATTTACTGCTCTTTCAGGGTCGGTCTGTGCTTAGTTTTGACCTGGAGAAGGGTGAAAGTGCTTTAGGCATTAGCATTGTTGGAATGGAGACTGAAGGCTGTGGAGGTCTTGGTATCTTCATACAGAAGATCCAGCCGGACTCTGTAGCACACAGGTATAAACTGACAAGGATTTAAGTATGATGTAGCAAAACTTAATTGATTAAAGCTTGTTATTCTGGACAAGTGCATAAATTGATTTGAAACCTTTCTTTACTTAGTGATGGACGTCTGCATGAGGGTGATCAGATTCTAGCAGTGAATGGCAAGCCGTTTGAATCCTCTGTAACACATGAACAAGCTGTCCAGGTTCTTCTGGAAGCTGCTTCTGTGGTAACCTTAATTATAGCCAGAGAACCAGCCCCATCATTCAGCCCCCCACAGGTGAGCCACACTCTTCCCAAAAATCTCTGGCCTTTATCATGAATTCAGTGTAAGTCTCCTTAAAAAAGGTTATTTTTATATTCATTACCCTACATCTCTTAAAGTTCCCAAAATATACTTGTAAAAATTTGTAAAATGGACTTTGTAATGTGCCCCTGAAGTGTCTCCAAGCTCATATTTTGCCTCATATCTCATACTGTAATGTCTTATGCCGTATAGCTGCCCCACTTTACCATGCAGCTTAAATCTGATATTGATCCACAGTAATTTGATTACATTACCACAAGTGCAGTACATCTAACATTTTAAATGTTATACATTAGCTTTTTATGTGAGGTTTTAGGTTTGGTGGTTGTTGTGAAAGCAGAGTGAAAGAAAGCAGAGGATTTCCTGGTAATGGTGGCGATACAATTGAGCCATCTCCTATTAGCAAGACTATTATAATACACCACTGTTCAGAAGAATGGGGTTGGTCAGACGAAGTCTCTCATGCTCACCAAGGCTGCATTTATTTGATCAATAATATGGTAAAAACAGTAATATTATGAAATATATTTACAGCCATTACTCCTGCCTTCAGTGTTCAGTGTCTTTACTGTCACTTTT